GTACTAATTACCATACTAATTAATGACTACTGAACAGACTGCTCTATTGCTCTGCGATTAGCCCTTCTTACAGCCACAAGAGCCCTTTCTCATGCAGAGCACTGCGAAACTTCCTAGGCTAATTTACAGAAGAAACATGTTTGATACTCCTGAGCAAAACTCACAGCTGAAAAGAAAGCAGACTCATCAAGGCTTTCAAACTGATGAAGTTTTCTGACTATGTGTAAGCACACTGCTGATTTTGAGGAGGACAGAAATGAAAGAGAGAGGCTAGGAACTTCAGTTCCATGCTTGTAGAAGTGAGGAGTAAAACCACTCCTCAAACAACAACCCTGACAGTCTGGAAACTTCTGAGTCTGCCCACAGTACCTAACAGAGTTCAACACCAATTGTTTCTCCAGGAAGCTGGCTAAGAATCAAGTTGCTGCACACACAGCAAAGTGCAATTAGAAAATTGGCCAAGGAAATCAGCAGGTCAGGCTGACCAACTGAGTATAACAGAAATGAAATAAATCTTGAGCCTCAGAAGGAATGCATCACATAATCAGGCAAATCCCTGGAAATCAGGGCTTTCCTGAAAACCATAAAAAGAGAAAATTGTCGAAGAGCTCATTGAATTTTAGATCTTCTCAGATACAAACACAGCTGTATATTCTAAACTGTTATCTCACCACTAGGATAAACCAGTTACCTAGACAGGACCACATCAGACTTGCAAAGATGAAAGGTATAAGAATGATGAAAAAGCCTGCATCATTTTCTTTGCATTTAGGTGGGAAAGAGACTACTTAACCATTCAAGGCATCTGCTTTAAAGCTGACAGGAGCACTGCTTTAGTCTTTTTGGGCCCAAAATTAAAATGAAAGTGTAAATGAAAGGTGTGATTATATGAAAAGCTCCAAGCAGCTGCAAGGACACAGAAAAAGATCAGACTCCTGCCCCACAGGCTGGAACAAACTGTATCATCATCAGTTCTACTGTAAACATACGAACATATTAATGTATTATCATGTCTACTGCACTGCCATAGAATAACTGAGGGGCTCAGAGGTGACTTGCTTCACCTACTTGGATTGTTTTGGTGATTTTCATGGCTAGATTTACTGTCCCCATAGCTGGGCTTATAGCAGCTGGAACGCTCCTTTTTAAGCTGATCTTCTCTCTGGCATCCACCACTTTGGTCACCTTTTCGGCAGCAACACTTTGCTGCTTACGGGAATTCAACATCTCTCGAGCATCCTGCACCTTCCCTTTGATTTTGAACCGAGCGTCCTTTTGAACCAGTTTTTCACGGGCATCTTTAACCCCCAGTTTGTGTCGGGCATCGGTGAGTCCAATCTTCTGTCGGGCATCAAATGTCCGCTGGAAGCTGACAGCTGACGATGATCTATTTAGAAGATTCTGCTGGATCCCAGGGCGAGATCTTACACCTCCAAACACTGGCCTTGTGTTAAGTCTGGGGAGGGGGAAAAAAAAAAAAAAAGAGAGTTTCAGACATTATGTGATACAGTGTCAGTAAAAGTATTTGTGTTGCTGCAAATAAAAGCTTATTATGACCGCACAGAAATCCACTCAGATTGGATGTCTAAATACAAAAGCAGAGTTCCTAAGCTGTTTTATGCTGGATTTTACTTTCTACATAAACAGCTAACGAACTGATTTCCAAAATCCATCCTTAAGATCACATTTACAAACGACAGGGTCTGACTTCAGCTGGGCTAAGTACATACTACATTTAACCAAAATTCAACAACTCAGGTACTTTGGAGAAACCTTTAAAGACAAAGAGGAACAGAAGCAGACTTTCTAGCCCTAGGACTGAACAGGTCTGCTAAAGCATCTTTTGTAATACAGTAATATAGCCCAGTACAAAGGAAACATGGAACTACACAATTTCAAGAATTCTGGGTTGCAAGTTCAGATTTGGGGGAGTATAGCAACTTGGATTTTAGGATGGACAAGCACCAGCAACAGCCTCAGTTCAAAGCCACCAGTTTCAAGGTTGATTAGCTTCCAGCAAGAATAGTTACCAGTCAAATTACTTTTTAACACGACTGCCTCTTCTTTAATTTACTAACAGAACTACTGCACTCGATGGCCTTTATTTTTTAAACACATCATTATCACAATACTGAGCACAGAAAGATAACAGCCCACAGAAAGGACCACATTTGCACTTGCACACAAGTATTCCAAAGAAGCAGCACAATATGGAGTGAAAGGTAAAACTAGCTTCTTGTTACAGGTCTGATACACTTTTTTCAAAATCTGCCCTAAAAACCAAAATAGCTTATCTGATTTTTTTAATCCACTTCCTCTTGTAAGTATTTTTAAGGTTTCCTTCTTCTCCATTGGGTTTCTTTTTTTTAAAAAAAAGGATGACAAAGTACTAAGAGAAATTTTAAAGTTAAGCTACTAAAAAAATATTATTATTGTTGACTTTTTAAAACTCAAAATAAGCTAGAGGGCTACAGTGTTCATCTGCTTCCTGAAATGTGTCGTCCAGTACTATAAAGTCTAAAAGTAGGTATCTAGAATTTGTTGTCACACTCAAAAGGTTAACATCACAAAATCAAATGATGATGTTATTTCAACTCTTCATACAGCTTTATATCAGTACTTCCTGATCCAACCCCACAATCTTAACATCATATATATATATATACATTTACAGTCGTCTATTCGGTGGAGAGATTCCTAAAATAAAACAAGGAGAGGAAAGACTGAACCTCTGCCTCTGTATCTTTCATTCTTGTGTCCCAACATCTGGAGAGGTGGGACTGGGGTCCCATTTTGTTACCTAGCTAAGAATCCTATAGCTGCTCTCTCATACATCCAAAGCACAACAGGTAGAAGAAACAGGAGTACTATTAAGACCATTTATTAAAATATATACAGAATAACACAGAAGACTAAAAATACCCATAAAGTAACAGCCACAGAGCAAGACTTCCCTCACAATTTTTAAAAGCATTGATTTAGCTATGTTGAAAGCATTTCTTTAGAGTGCCACACAGGGCTTGATGAGTGGTTCTTTCTAATTGAGCATGAAAGAGGTCAAAATAAATCAAGAAATATATGTATCAGCATTTAAGCCAGCATTAGTTAAAACTGTTAATGACACCAATGAAATTGGTTAGGAAACTCTGTACTGAGGATTACACTATTTTCTGAAGACTTGTGTTTATCCTAGTAAACAATTCCCCTCTGGAGATAACTGCTTACCCTACAACAGCATTAACTACTTAGGTACTTTGTGCCACAGCACTTGAAATAAAAAGGGATCTCAAACATCTAATTCACTTTCCAGAATTCCAAGTTCTCACTTGAATATTTTGTGGGTTAGTACATTTCATTGGTTAAGATTTTTCTACTATTTCATCTAGAGCACTGAACAGCATGGATATAAGGATTTCAGTTTACTCAGTTTATCCAGCCTTCACAAAGTCAAGTTTTGCTACCTCAGGAATCTATACAGTGAGCTAAACATGACAAACAAGAGAAGTGTAAGGCACAAAAATTCTTACAGTGGGATTATTGTTCAGCAAATAAAAGCAGGAAGAACTCCTGGAAGAAATGAGAGTTAAGGAGGGATTTGAAAAAGGATAAAGTAGGTACTTGGGGCATAGTAAGCAACCTAGGACTGTTCCAAATATGCAGGATAACACGAATGAAAGTGCAAAGCCAAGGCCTTGTCTAGACTAGGATTTAAATATGTTTGAATATGTTTTGCTAGTATGTTAGTAGATAAATTTCAAAATATTACTCGAGACATGTAAGTGTATATACATTCAGAGTTAAAAATCTAAGAGTAATAAATAAAAAGAGCAACAACAAAAAAAACCAACAAAGCAAAAGCATGCTGAGCTAACACAGGTGGGGGAAAATCCATGGACAAAGTCTTCAGAATCATCAAGAGAGTACGGCAAAAGGGAAAACGAAAAGCTACCAAAGGAGATGCCAGGTAAGAACTGCCAGCTGCTGCACTGGAGTAAACGGCCCAGCCTACACCGGCGACAGCTGCTGTACAAAGAATCAAGCTGATCCTGGAGCTGATCTGCAACATGCTCCACATCCACACAAGCATTTCAAACAATCTGTCGGAGCACCATTAGCTACGCTACAGGGACTACAGCCTCCGAGGGTCGGGCAGCGATGCAGGCGAAGCCCCGGCAGTCTCGCCCGTCGGCCCCGCTCGGTTACGGCTCCCTGAGCACCTCCACCCTCCCGCGGCTCTCCCACAAGGCACCGAGCCGCTCCGGGGAAGGAAGGCGGGGGGACCGGGCACCTCCAGGCAGTGCCCGGACAACACCTGCGGCCCGGATACCGAGGGGGCCGAGGGGTGCCGACCCCAGTACGGGGAGCAGCGCTGGGTTAGTCGGCGGGGAGGAGCAGGAGGGGGCAGGGTCAGCGTAGGGTTGGTGCCGAGACTCCCGAGGGAAAGGAGAAGGGATATGGCAGTGGGTGCCCCTGCCCCGCTGGGGCAGCGCCGGGCTGGGGGCGAGGTGGGGGGGCCGCCCCCGCCCGGCCCTGACCGACGGCCGCCGCCACCAATCACATCGCGGCGCGGCCCCGCAGCCCAACAGCCGGACCAACGGGAGCTCGAGGGCGGGAGCACGGCCGGGCCGCGCCGAGGCAACTGCGGCCCGCAGGACACGGACCGGGGCCGCCGGAAAGGAGACGCGAAGAACGGCCGGGGGCCGCCGGGCCCGGGGCGCTGCGCCGCCCTCCGACCGCTCACCTCCCCTTCACCGTCACGCCGCGTTTCCGTATGAGCTCATCCAGAGACAGGTCCGCCATCTTGTGGCGGGGCCCAACGACGAGACGCAGCAAGGAAGCCCCGGAGGTGACGCCGTAGGACTTCCGGCCATCGCCCCACCCCCAGAAGCTCGACGGGCCCCGCCCTCGGCCCCGCCCCGTGCGGCGGGGAGCGCCCACAACCCCCCGCGGCTCCCGGGCCGCTCATTTGCATACGATTCCGAACGTCCCGGTGCGGTTCTGCTCGCGGCAGCGGCTCCGTGGCGCAGAAGGGACAGGGACCGGACAGAAACGTAAGGGAACTGTCATTGAACTTATCCGTGATGAGATAACTGGGGAGCCGCTCGCCCTGACCTATAGAGCTAGCGCGCAGAGGTGTTCCGGCGGAGCTGACAAAATGTAGTTATGCCTTAAACTTATGAGTAAGGAAAATAACGACCCGGGGTGACGCCCGGGTCCTCACTGCCAATGTGAGAGGAATTTTTGCGCGGGTACAGGTCGCCCCCGGGTGCCCCGCCTACTTCGCGGGATGCCCGGGTGCCGTGATCTGCCCGACCCTCTGTGCCGCGCGTGCCAACGACAGAGCCCTTCTCTGTGTTCAGCTGCAGTGCTTGGGGCAGAGCTGGCCCGCTCGTAGCGTCATCCGCCCACTGCGACGCGGCCGGACACCGCCTCCTCAGTGCTCTAGCACGTGGCTACCGGGAATTCGAATTACTTAACAGTTCAAAAATAGCTTAACCAGTGTCTCCCTCCTCCTGCTGCCAATGGGAAACACCTCAGGACACCTTCCCAGGACATTCCTGAGATAACATTACTGTGGGGGGTATTGGGAAGAAGGGGCAATGACTCTGCAAAAACGTAAAAGCCATTTTAAAACCTGTTTAAACCACAGTTTTCCCATATAATGCAGGTTTAGTGCTACAGAGCTCCATCTAGCCAGTATCCTGTTTCCAACCTGCAAGGACCACCAGACACCCTTTCAACCTCAGTGCTCTTTGTGCAGCCACAATGCCCTTTGGCAATACCTCCACTCTGCTGCATGATGAACCACATCCTCCTATTCATTTTGCTTCCATCTGCCTGGTCCTTTCAACTGAAGGTGGAGAGTACACTCTCTCTTCCACCTGTGATCCCTGAAGTCATCTTCTGTCCAGATGAAGAATCCAGGCCTGCTCAGACATTCCTTCAGTGAAGCTTCTTTCCCTCTTCAGCACCCCCTTTCCATGCTAAAGTCTCTGTGGGAGGCTGGTTAGGGGGCATGAGCCTTGCCGTTGTGGGAAGGAAGACTTTAAACCTCAGGATCTCCCACTGCCTGGATTTCTGACTATTTTACTCTCACTGTGAGACACAACAAGCTGCAGCTCATGTTTCACAGGTTCCTCCAGAGCTGTGAATGAGAAGTCAAATATTTGCTCAGGAACAGGCCTAGACCTCTGCTTCCCTCCCGGAGGCTGGGAGAGGGAGGAAGGTGCAAGCAGCAGCAAAGAGATCTCCCTGAGTGCAGGGATCCCTACAAAGGGCTTCTTGCACAAACGTGATGAGAAACTTTCAGGCCTGCCCTTTGCTTTTCCAGAGATGGGTTCCTTGAGCACGTCCCTTGTCAGCTGAGACCCCACCCCACAACGTGGAAGTCAGAACAGAGGAGACCATTTCCCCATCTCTAACCAATATCTTTTTTAAAATATTAATTAGGGAATTATGCAAAGGACTTCATATTAACCCTGGGATAGTATATCGCACAGCGTCTGATTTTAAATATTACGTTTGTTGCATTGTATAGAGGCACATGAAGCAGCTAAAAGCAGAATGATGTGGCCAGAGAGAATGTCAGATAAGTTGCCATGGAGCAAGATCACATCATTACTCAGTCCAGATAAAGTCCTTTGGTCCCAATGACTGACTACAGGTTTAAATGTGTGTCCTTGCTCTTCAAAGGACAGAAATCTGTGTGCTTGGTGTGTCAGAAGCCAAATAACTTTTCTAGCTGATATCAATTAGAAGAGATCCTAACCATCTAAGCTGTTACTGAAAACTTAATTCTTCTCTATTAATTATTACAAAGCTGTCAAAACTTTAGTATGTAGGCAGCACACTCCTCTTGGGCTGCATTAATACCATCACCATAATCATTACCTTGACACAGAAATATTTTATATGAAAATTATTAAACAATTATGTTATTGAACCCAAGGGGGAATAAGCTGCTGTAAGGGTAATTTCTCTGTCAGGTTTTGTACAATGAAGTAGAATATTAATAATTACAATAACAATCTCTTGACTTTTTTTTTCCGTAGGGAAGACACAGAGACCTGAACATTTTTGAAGGTTATACCAGGAATGTCAGTTAATGTGAGTTCTGTTTGAGTTGTAGTTCTTGTTTATGTTAATAAAGTGAGTTTTGGCTTACTCTGCTAATTATTTATTGAAACATCCTTCTTTATAGGAAATAAATAATTTTTAAAAAGAATAGAAGACAAAAAAGTACCACAACTGGGATTTAGATTGGAATAAAACATTTTCAGATATAATGGGATATTCCTATTATGGTAAAACTTTAAACTATTAGCAAAATACACAGGACCGGCCTCTTTTTTTCTATTTCCTTTGCCGGAGTTTTTTCGCTTATTTGCGTAACCCAGAACAGAACAGGACCTGTTTGTTGGGTTGTTGTTGCTGCTTTTTGTCCAGGTTAGATGTGGGTGCTGCAGCAGGAAAGGCCGATTCTCACAGCCTGGCTGCGGGGGCTTTGTCCTGCCTAGGCAGAGGAGACAAGTGCTCGCTTCCTCCTAAGCTCGCCCACGTCTGGCAGCCAGTTGAGGTAATGCTTTTGTGCTGGCATCAAACACTGGCACTGCCAGCATGAGCCTCTCAGTAAGTGTTTTAAAGTTTCTTACTACTTATATTGTTCAAAATGATGTGGTGAGTTACTCGACATACCCATTCAAAGGAAAGTTTGTTTTGCTTTTTAGTGCTGTTATTTTACTTTGTTTCATTTGACATTTCTGTAACAAGCAACCCTTTTGATTTCTTTAGTAATGTTCAGACTTTGCTCTTCTTGAGCTGAATACAATTTTCCTTTTAGCCCAGATTTTGAATCCTTTGTGGTTGGGCTGCAGACATGTTAGGAAACTGGTTCCCAAACAAGCTTGGCAAATTGAAGAACCATGTGAGAAGTTAAAGTGCTCCTCAGTTAGTACAGTTGTAAAAGGCTATATTCTGAATCTCCATTGTACTGGTTTGTCCGAGAAGAGTAATTTCTGCATGGAGATACCTCCCATCACACAGATACCTACCAGCTGCATAATTTTTCAGAAGCTGGGAAAAGACCATATTTGTTCTTTGTAACATGGTGCTTATTGCCTGTGTGTCATTTAAGCTATGGCAGTTCATTATAAATTTTTTTTTGTGAATATTTATTCTACAATCTAGTAGTTCCCTGGCCATAATCATGTGGCTCTTTCACTAAACAGTTTTTGTGCCCTCTTAGTTGTCTCCAGGTACCAGGACCTGCCAAGCAATGCCTGCAGCAGCAGCTGCTCACCAAGCGGGAAGTATTTCACTATGGATTCCCTGAACAGAGACGTGCTCAGGTACACTAACCATACACACTGCCTGCCTCTAGATGAGTATGAGTTCTCTTGCCAACCAGAAACCTTTCTATTCTTTTGGTTGATATTTGAACACTTGGAGTCTATTTTTTATTAATGTTAGACTCCATGACCATCATGGGCTTATATTCCAGACTTGAAAGCCCAGCCTTGATTCACAACTGAAGTGAAAGCAAACAGTAAGAATTAAACAATAAGTTGTTTAGGGTGTTAGAAATGTTAAGAAAAATTGGTCCCTGCCCCACATAGCTGTCCTCAGAGTATATGGTCAAGAATGTAATCCAAACCAGTCTGAAAAGAGTAGTTTTAGTCCTCTTCAGTTCCTAAACTACCGTTGCCTCTGCTTTGCCTGTGTGTGCCAGGGGCATCCTAAATCAAAGAATGCCTCAGGAATAAAAGCTTCTGGTGTAGTGGTTTCCATGCTTGTGGAATTTGAATTGCACCACTGTTTTGTATACATATTTAGTGTATTTCCTGCACTGTCGAATTCTAGCTAGATAAATTGGTAAACGTGCATTATCAAATGCCAGTTAAATTTGTCAAATAATTCATACCAGATATTTGCTCTGAAGCACAGTTAACCCTAATATAAAATAGCATATGTTCATCAACATGATGTTGTTGATGTTTTTGCTTTCTTAGTCCTTCAAAAGAGAAGAGAGTGAGAGCTGATGAACTATACATTTTTTTCCACCCAATTTGTGGGTGAAAAATTTTTATCTTGTGATTTACGTGCATTTGGGTGGGGAAGGCAAAGGGGAGAAGAGAAGAAATGTGAATCTATTAACTTCTCTTGCTCATGAGTGAACAGTCTCCCAGTCTGTTATCCTGTTTCATGAGAATTTGGTTTCAGTAACCCAAGACAAGCATGTGTAGAAAATGAAACTGCTTGAAACATGCCGGCTTCAACCATGAAAGAACTCAGCATTGCTCCTTAGGTCAATTGCCCAGTTCTTCCTTCAAAATTACCCACGTGGGTATTTGAGTGATCTTAATTCTCATAGGAGTCTATTGTGAGGAATAACGAATTTCTAAGGAAACTTTTTTTTGTAAAATAGCTGCTATTTACCTTCCCAGGTGCCCTTCTGGAAAATGAGCATGAGATATATCTCCATGCATTTAACCAGAGTCCAGGCACTTTAAAAAGTGAAAAACTTTCAAAAGAGAAGTTAGTGTTATAATGCAAGTATGAGTTATGTGTTGTTGCAAGATCTGGGAAAATACAGGGATGCTGTGTCTGGGGTCAGGCTTTGTCCCTCCTAGAGGAAGGCACAGTGGTGGGATCAGAGCTTTTGCTGTGTCTGTGAAATATTTGCTCTGGGATAACTAAGGGAGGTCATTTGTCTTGCAGGACCTGAAGGTTTCATTATCATCAAATTGCCTTTTTACACACACACATGCACATCTGAAACTCTAAGGGCACTATTAACAGTACTGACCAGGTACTTCTAGTGATCTAAAGGGGGTCCACTGGATAATCACAAGGCTGTCTTGCTCCTTTTTCTAAGAGCTGAGCCTCCTGCATGCTGGTCCCATGGCTTTCTTGCAATGGGCAGGAGACTTGCTCTGAGCCAAAGCATCTGTTTACATTTTCTCTCTCTAGGTATCTGAACCCTTGAACCCTTTGCAGCTGTTAGAAAGAGACTGAATAATGAGAGACAAATGCACTGGCTCACTGGCCTATCCATTCTGTAACCAAAGCTTCCTGCTTGTGTGAAATAAATGAAAGTACATCACAGAGAGAGAAAAGGTCAAAGCATAGCTAGCAGCTAAGGAGATATCTTGGATTATGACTGCTGGCATACTTATCCTCTGATGGAAGATATCCTATCCTCCAGAAATTGGGGCTCTTTGAGTTATGGAGCAATAGAGGCCAGCTATGCACCAGGTTGAGACCTGAGATATTGTCTGTGTGTTTTCTAAAATACTTAGCTAACGCAGTGTAGGATTAGTTCACCAGAAGCAGAGAATCAGTTAAATTATGGGATGTTGCTGCTGCAGAGCATAGGAGGCAAGGAGCAGGATCAGAGATTCTGCTACTCAGAATTGTGACAGACCTGTGCAGGAAAGGCAGGAGAAGCCAAACACAGGGTACTTCCCGTTTACCCATCCCAACTGGCCTTGCAGTTTACTAGCATTCCATATTGTGGCCTGGAGAGAGAGCTCTCAGGAGCACCCCAAAAGCTGGGGGAGGCCACAGCCTGCTGCACTCTTTCTGCTATTCTTCAGTACTGTGTCTCAGTGATGTGGTCTAACCTTAACCTCTCTCACTTCAGTGAGGACACCAGAAAAACTGTTTTCCTAGACAAATGTGATGTTGGGTGACACAGGTGGAGCATTGAGTGTGCTGCTGATCTTTCAGTCAGTGTTGCTACCAGGATAGAAGTGATAATTTTAAATTCCGCTAGGAACAGCCTCTTTCTCCCTCTCTGCACTGTGGGGAGAACAGAAGACAAATCTGGGTAGGATATAGGGCCAAAGAAGGAAGGGAAGACAATTCTGGGTTATTTCATGATTGCATCTGGTACAACATGAGGAAAGGCAGGACATATCTCTGTGATTCTCTGTGACATATTCTGTGATTCACCTGTTCTTCAGGGACATTCTTGTCAGAGGCTTCAGGCTATCTCAGGACAGAGCAGCAGCCACAACCATTATCCCTGCTCCCAGTGACCTTTCTAGAACAATGGTGTTATATTGATTACTCCAAAGTGCTTAGACTTAGCTGTGACCTTTGATACTCAAATCCTGCATCTTGTTTTACTGGTAGGAGTGGTTTAAGAAGTACAACCCACACCAAACGCCTGGCTTAACTCACTGCACAGGTGCACTGGATGTTTGTCCTGGGTGAAATCTCACAGTCAAACACCAAAAACTGGGGAAGAAACATTGTGTTGGATCACGGGCTAGATGTCCTTTGTGCCAGAAAATGGGATAGTCTGGCAATAGAGAAATTTCACACACAGAGATACTTTGTGGCAATCAGTGGACTTTTGTTGCTAATGGATGTAGTACCTGGTCTACTCTGAGAGGTTAAAAATCCTCTAACTGTTGGCTGTTTTGGGGCTACTGCACTCTAGGCCAAATGACACTTTTTACAGGGAGGGGGAAATTGTTGCTCCTTTGAGATCAGCTGAGCATATGTGACAGGGAGAAGGTGTTTTAGCCTAAGAGCCCAGGTCTGCTGGATTCTGCTGGGTGTTGTACATTTGTTGAGAAAATCTTTAACTGTAACAAATAGTACTCAGTCTTGTGAATTCCTTTAACAGACAGTGTGTCGTCCTGTATTCACCTGATTAGTGTGTGCAAGTGGATATCTTAGCCTTGAGAATAAAGACTGGGCCTGAGCAATGATGATAAAAAGGTATAGCTTGGCCAGACCACAAAGCTGGAATGCATTCAAGGAGAAGAAACTGGTTTTAGGAGGCTCATGACTATAAAAGGATAATTTGAGGAATGGGATGTTCCCCAAAAACCACCAGAGACCCTCAAGAGAGCCCTACTGTAATGTAAATAAGTTCTGAGAAGTTATTTAAATATGTAAAAGAGTTTACAGGAATTTTTAACATATATTTATGAGTTTGGGGAAATGTATTTAATAAGTATGAGTTACATAGATGTAAACTATTATGTTGGATAGCTGGGAGTGCACGTTAGGAGGAGCCATCCCCCATGCACGTGTCAGAAAGGCAAGGTGAATATACAAGAAACACAAGAACTGGAGAATTTTTGTGACTTTGCAGAAAACGAGACTTGTTTTGTCAAGGAAACAATCGTCCAGGCTGCTCTGTGGAGGGACACGGGTAAGTGCCACCTGCAAAACCTCAGAGCAACTTAAAAACACTAATACAGAACCTCCGCTGCAGAAAAACTTAACCCAGAGGCTGTGACAAATCAAAATTTTACTCAGCATTATTAGACATTACGGTATGGAAACTGCACAGTCTCTGTACTGTGATGTTTGCAACTTACTTTGCCTTTATTATAAAGATTCTTTTGTTCTGCACTTCAACATCTTGTCTAATGTACTTTATTCCACTGTGCTTTTGGAAAATATCCTGTGGTCACTGACCATGTTTAATACATTGCTAAAATATGTCACACACAAAGAACATGCTATCCACCTAATGGCCAAATCACTGGAACCTTACAGTAAGAGTAATTAATAACATCTCTGGAGTACAAAGAGTTCCTATTGCCTTTTTTAACAGATACAAAATAAACTGAATTTTTCATTCAGCTGTGATAATTATTCTCTTTTGGGAATTACTACAAGAGTCAGAACAATTGTACATCCAGAGGCTTTCTAATACTTCAGCATTAAAAGAGAGACTGTATGTGGGCACAACACAGTTCAAATGTTGTTACTTTCAAAATATATTCTTCAGCAGTAATTTAATAACATATTTCAGCACTCAGAAGAATTTACATCTGCATCTCTGCTACATCTTCCATTTTTCATCTCTTTGCTGTCTACTCTTTCAGCTGGCAGGTTCTTTACGTAATACAAGGTTGATTTAAGCTATTTTCTATTTTTTTTAGCATTTTTCTTTGGTTAGAGCTGGTGCTATCTGCAGAAAACAAGGTCTTAAAGGTGAGGAGATAGTTTGGAAGTAGAAGGATGTGGAGGTTTTTTTTTCAGTTCTGCCACCTCCTCTGCTTAGATATGGCTTTGTGCCTCTGTTTTTCCACCTATCTCATGTTCTTTTATCTGTTTAGTCCTTCTAGGGAACAGCTCAAACTCTTTAGGCTTATGCAGTGTAGCATATAAAGGCCCTCACATTTATTGTAAAAATAAATAATCCCTTTGGTGGACAATTGCTGTGTTTATTTACATTTATTTATTCTGTCTTGTATACCTCTTGTCCTTATTTTGCAAATTTAAAATATACCAGTTCAAATATTTTTTTTTTAAGAGTTTTTATTGAGGTACCTAATAACAGGTCAGCATTCCAGGAAAAACTCCCTATCTTGCTCCCAGT